CAATTAACTATTGGAGAAGTAGGAACAAAGGATCTCAAGTAGAAGAAAAAATCTAATAGAAAATGATGTATAAAGAGAAAAATTGTGACTATGAAACAATCGAAAAAAGAGTCTGAATTCCTCAATTAAAAACGATAAACTCTTTACTCATCAGTGAAGCAATCGATGATGCGTCGATGTTGGATTGAGAGAGAGGGATGGATACCTTTTTTTTTAAATCGGGAGCTTTAAATGGGAGCAAAAAGGAAAACGGACGGGAACGCAAATAGAGCGAAACGTAAAAAACTGTAACCTCATAATGTGAGGTCTATCGCCAAACGATAAAAAATAAGAAGTAATGTGTTGAGCTCGTGATGAAGAAATCTTTTCAGACAGATGGTTTCAGATGAAGATATGGATTTAGAGGACAGAGTTGGACGAAACTAGTTATTTTTCTTCACTATAACATGTCTATATATGATGACCACAAGAATAACTCTTTTATTTTTTGTGATTTTTTTTATTGGATATATCTTCTCTAAGATACAGGAAATATGCATAAACATATCCTTATATTTAATTTTACAAGTTTTTCTCAATATTTGATTCTTTTGTCATTTAAAAAAATCTTCTTTTAGTTGTAGTGCTCTGAATGTATTGTTAAGTGACTCACGACTCTCAAATTTTCATTGAAAGAAACAGCTGATCACTTTCATTGGTTCGAAGACAAGAAAGAAAGGAAAGAAGCTGTATATAATATCCTGTTCATGTTCGATCACGGATGATTTGATCCAAAGTTTTTCCTAGATCATACCAATAGCTATCAACTCATCGCCGGCAAAGTCATAATATTGATCGATTGTTGTTGTGCCAATTGACTTTCTTGTTATTGACTGATTCAATAACTCTGCTGTCTTCAATGATAATTCGCGAAGAAGCAAAGGATGTTCACGGTTTTGGTGTATTCGTCTACGCTGCTCATCGGTCAAAGGAACTTCCGCTGACATACTATCCATCCCAAAATACATTAGCTGTGGGCATTTTTTGAATAATTTTTGATAGGAATGAGATAGAGACCTGCGATTTTCGCTGTTCAATAGCCAAGACTTGAGCAGAACTTTTCACAAGCAGCAACAACTTTTGAAAAAATTCCAAAGATCGGGTTTTCAAAGGATCTTTGGAAAACCAGCTCCGTTCTTAGAAAACTAACATACAATGTTAGTAACTTTTTTGCATGCGTAGATAGTTCAGACGTTACGCTGCATAATTATGCAAGTCCCGGCTCTCTAGCTATCGTCGTTCGGGTAGGGCTCGCTTTCCCCGAGCACGTGTCTATCTCCGAGCAGACATCTCTGGGAATCTCAAAATGCCATGGACTATAGGTAATCGACTACGCTGAGCATAGTGGCAACATTTGTTTTTGTGTAGAAATGAATATAACTTCGTCAGAGGCATTTTTGTGAAAAAACGGTTTTTCGCCTGTTACTAGCAAAAATTAAAATCCTTATATCTCGATCAAATCTTATGCTGACTCAAAGAAATTTTCAGAAAACGCTCAGGACATCTCATAAAACATAATCGAAGACGAGAAAAGGTGAATGTGAGCTGGGCATTGGCTTAAGGTTTTCCAGAAATCTTCTGAAAAACCTCAGAGCATCAGTGTTCTACTGGCTCACTTTTACGGCGTGGTCAACAACATATGGCACCTTTTAAGCCTTTTCTGAAAATTTCCCTGAGTCAGCATGAGATTTGATCGAGATATAAGGATTTTAATTTTTGCTAGTAACAGGCCAAAAACCGGTTTTTCACAACAATTGAACAGCGAAATTCGCAGGTCTCTATCTCATTCCTATCAGAAGTTATTCAAAAAATACCCACGGGTCTTGTATTTTGGGATGGATAGTAGTATTTTATCTAAAACACGATAAACAGAAGTGAAAGAAGAAAAATTACATCAAATGTATCATGAAAGTTGAAACTGCTTCATTACTGAGGTTTTTTTTGAAAAACTTCGATATTGACGCTCTCGATTCAGACCTATATTGCGATCTGTTTTATACATGAATCGAGAATGATTGACTTGAAGAGATCGATTTATATACATTTGTGAGACGCTAATGAAATCCGAATATTTTGTTGACTCATTGATTGTTTCACATCGAATCGGTTATGGAAATACATATAGACGCTGCATGCGTTGTTGTATATAAATGCTTTGGGGAGGTTGTCCAGCATATCGACTTTCTTCATTATGTTGGGCCAGTGTAAAAGTGTGATGAAGACTTGCTCACCGGGAATTATTGCGAGAAAGTCTATCACTACACCGTAATTGTACATGATATGAATGACGCCGCAGGAGAAAACATGACCATTTTTGAATCTCGGATTTGGTTCAACGTTAGATTCGTTTGTTTCAATCATTTCGTCGACAAAGTGCTGATATTATTTAGAAGAGCATTCCTGACACATTGAGCGATTTTGAAGAGCAACGTGTTCGTCATTTACTTAAGCGTCAATTCCTTCATGCTTTCGTTTTCCAATTGTTTTTGGCCTGTTACTACATCCAACTAGCACACAACCTGAAAATAACATTTTAACATTTCTGTTTGAAGAATCAGTTTAAAACACCTGCCCTTCTCTTTTTTTCTCATTTTTCGAAATTTGAGCAGATAAATCTAGAGAGTTTCTGAAAGCAATCGCTTAGGAATGACATTGAACATTTGGTTTTGCATGGTCGATAGAGTTAATGTGTTACCCGAAATCGGACAAATTTTCGATTAAGTTAATCGTAAAAGATTTGGAGAAAAGCAGCGTAATTTTTTTTGCGATCCCTGATTTTTGAGAAAACAGGAAAAAAATTGCAGGTAGATAATTAATTTTTAATAACTTGCATTAGAGGTGGAATTTATACAGCCGATTCTTTGTTGAAAAGAAACGAGAGTTGTGCAAATTGATAAATAAACTAAGCACTGTTGGTGTTTTTGTAGATGAATTTTAGATGTATTACTTTTCTCATTTAATGCATATTCTTTTGAACATAAGTCAACACATGATCAGGACTCACAGATGTTGCTAAATTTTTCAGTTAACCGTAGACAACAAGCAAACTGGCTATTTGAGTGATTATTAAGAATTCGCTACAAACGACTTGATCAACTGAAGAAAGAATTTGTGTCAATTCTACATAACAAAACTTGATCTGGTTAATTTTCTTCTCCTTTCTGAATTTCTCTAAACACGATGACACAAGTTAAACTTTGGTAAAACGTAAAAGCATTTTTAGACTGCAAAACGATTATGAGTGACTCTAAAACTGAAAGGTGTCGCTGCTGGTTTGTTCTTTTAGCGTACATTTCATTGTTGCGATTCTTTTCGCCCTCAACGCGAACGAAGCTTTAACGGGGCCTTGAAAGGTGCCGCTGCTGCAGAGTTGTAACCGGTCTGGAAATACTAGACCGGTCCGGTCTAGCCAGTGACCGACCGGTCTAAAAATATTTCCAGACCGGTAAAAACCGACGAGGTTATCAAGTTTTTTCAAGTAATAACATTGATATTAGGGACAAAATTTGTAGTGTGTAAATGTAATAGTCTGTCTCAAGCAGTCATTTGTCGAATGACGAAACGTCACAAATAAATTACTTGAAGACTTGAAAGTGATAAATATTAAAAAGTAAAAGCATTTGAAAATATATCCGAACTGCCAAAAAATACTTGAAAATAACATTTATCTAATTTTAAAATTAACTTAGAAAAATGAACTAATTAAATTTTAAATAAAGTTGGGATGAGATTCACTATGTCAAATAACAAAGCCAATTAAGACGAATTTGGGTTAGGTTCCGATTGCTAAGATATTTTAAACAACAAATGATATGACTTTGTCTTTAAAAACAAATTGAAAGTATAAAAATAAAAAATTTACATTTCAAATAAAATTGTCACTCTCTCTTGCTTTTAAAAAAACTACTAAGCACCCATACATAGTATTTTTCTGATGAAAAATGAACGAATATGCACAACTTTGTGAAACCGGTAAAAATCGGTGAAAACCGGCCGATCCAACTCACTCAACCGGTCCGGTACGGCACCCGCCCGGTTACAACTCTGCGCTGCTGGTTTGTTCCTTGAGCGTACATTTCATTCTTGCGATTGTTTTCGCCCTCAACGCGAACGAAGCCTTAAAGGGGGCCTTTTGCCGTAAATTAACACATTTGGCGACTCTGACAACTTCTTCATAATTCCTCATCATCTGAAGAAGAAGAACGAACTCAAGCAACATTAGACTAGCGGTACTTGTGATTGGAAACTTATCTGAGAGTTGACCGAAAGGTAGACTCATTCTATTGAGAGCCGGCCCTTAGGCAGACTTATTACTTCATTTACTGTTCATATTCCATCCGTGAGAGTCGTCTTATAAGGAGACTCATTCATAATTACTCATACATTGATTGAAAAAAGAGGTGAGTGTATTTTCTTTCTTTACGTTTCGTGAATAGAGTTATCGAGGACTGCTCTCGTTGTGCAATCCATTTCTTGGGCTTGGAATACTCTTTTCGGTGGATCCGTGTTCTTATTCCAACAGAGATCTTTCTTGAAGAAAGATCAGTTTGTAGATCTCACCGATGAGGAGATCATTATCGAAGTTTTTGAATCCAAAGATGTTTCTCAAAGAAAGATTGTATTGACATCTTACTGCTAGCGACATCACTGTTCACATTTTTTGGACATTGATTTTTACAATATCGAGAACGAATCACGCTCGACTTTCTTTTTAAAAATTGCACTATGTCGATAAATATTGGGAAATCCGAATACTCGTTGGTTTTTCATAATTATTCATAACGGCTTCGGGGACGAGGTCAAAAATAAAAGAAACTTATCAAACATTAATCTCTTATCATCACATTACCGATACTCCTTCTCGACAACACAAATCCAGTTCGCTTACTACAACACCAAGCGGCCCGTCTCCCGCCGCAGCAACTACTACATCATCTATTGTATCGTCTCAAATCATCAAAATGTCTGACTCATTAATTGCATTAGCTCGAAAGGCTAGATTTACTGACCTTCCCAGTTTCTCCGGACAACCATCAGAGGACGTCGAACAATTCCTGAGGAGTATCAAGAGCCTAACAAAGAGTGATACGGAAATCACCGATGCTCAGCGGTTGGAAATTGTTCGAGGCAAATTAACCCAGACGGCCGGTAAATGGTTCGACGATAATGACTTTCAAACATGGTCAGAATTTGAAACAGTATTTCGAAATCGATCTCCCTCATCCACGCAATCTCAACTTAGATTCGATCAGTTATTACAACGAAAACAGGAGCCATCTGAATCCGTTAGCATGTATTTTGATGATATTGTATCATTATGTAAAGAATCAGACTCATCAGTGTCAGAGAAAATCATAGTCCAACATCTGATGAATGGTATTCGTCCCGAATTGCCACTCTTTCGTCATGAGCCTCCGATCCAACACATTGAAGTATTCCTGAAGGCGGCTAAGAAAGAGCAAGATATTCAAGAAACATTTCAAAAACTTGATGAATTGAAATTTACCGATGCAAAATCATACTTTGCACTTAATCCAAAATCAATCCCATTCACGCAATGTCCAAAGGCGCAAATCGCCTAATGTCCAAATCTTCAATCGGGAGCACTACGAAGTCAGTCACCGCTTCGTTATGTCTGTGTTGGAGCTAGCTCCTCCCCATAGGCGATTTTTGCTTGGGTATATGAACAGAAGACTCAACTGTTCGGAAGAGTCCTTAAGGCCTGAGCAGAATGACTGCTTGGGTAGAAAGGATCGTCCTAGACCAAACGTTTTGAGAGGAATCCAATGGTGATGTCACAAAGAGTTGAAAATGCTTGTCTATCGACTGTAGGTACGATTTCCGATGTTGAAAAGTGTTAATGTGTTCACACGCATTAATTTCAAATGCATGTGAAAGCGTTAAATGAACTGTAGTCAGTGTGAAGGAATTAAATGGACGAAAATACTTTTTAAGGCATTTGAATGCCTTACCATCTAATGCATGTGCACGAACTCGAGACCGTGTGAATAAGTTGTATGGACGAAATTATATTTTAAGACATTTTAATACTTGAGCTCGCTAATGCCTTTAAATATCGCGCAGAGAGAAAATTTGCCAGTTATTTAACTTACTCTTCTTACCTAAAGGTGTTCTAAGATACGATTTTATTTTACTAAATAGCAGGATATCACAAAAAAGAACAAAAGTCTTGTGGCATCCGTGGATACCCTGTGATAACCTAAAACTAAAAATTAAAAAATATAATAAGTAAAATAGCATTATTAAAAACCTGTGTAACCTCTTAGCATATTTTTAAATGTGGCTAAAGAAATTTGCTAGGCTAAAACAGAAGGTAATTCATTCCAATCTTTTGATGTTCGTGGAAGAGAAGAGCTCGATGCAGATTTTGACATTAAACGAGGGAGAAACACGAGACTATCATGACCTAATCGAGAACTTTGACGCGTTGTTAACTGTGAAATCAGGTCAAAAGAGGAGAGAGGGCTTTTATGATAGAAAATTTTACAGAAATAGAGAAGACGATAATATAGACGTCTGTTTGAAAGTGGTTGAATTTTAAATTGTTTGAGTAGAGAAGAAGAAGAACTACTAAAATCTCATGAAGTGATCCTACTAGCAAGCCGCTGAATTTTATCCAAAATTTCAAGATGAGAAGTAAAAGTGGAATCGTAGATAACACAACCATATTCAAGCACAGTTCTTACACAAGTTTTATATAGATGACACGACGAAGAAATGCGGGCGAGTCACAGAAGACTCTTGAGATAAAGCCTAACATTTGACAAGATTTCATTGATACATATTCAATGTGAACCTTCCATATTAAATTATATGAAGTAATCATGCCAAGAAGCTTAAGGGCCCCCCCTGTGATGCTAATTAGGCCCTACTAACAGCTTCACAAACAACACCCAATTCTATTCTACCAGCAGCAACAATTATTATTAGTTTAATGATAAACTATTCGTACAAAAAAAGTGTTTGTACAGTGTGGAATTAC